ACGGGGCTCCAGGTTGTGTCGTTTGCAACGCATTCCATTTTTCTTTATTCTTCAAAAAAACGTCATTCCTTTATGCCACAAAGACCTCGTATTCGAAAAATATCCAAATTCTTTTCTTTTGCCTTTGTCAGAACTCGTATTTCAATGTATGTCAGCCAGAACGCACATATGAGCAGCCCTATTTTATACAGATGTACTAGCATTTGAAGTCCTTTCTTATTAAAGATGCATTTCTTTCTCGCTCTATATTTTTTCAATATATAACAATGCTTATTTTGTGAAAATATTTTCCTAATTACAAAAGAAATTTGATTTTCATTGTTCCCGACGTTTGTTTGGAATTTAAGTGAGAAAAAATGACAAAAAAATATGGTCATAATCTTTTTTTCACTTATTGCCTTTTTCAGTAAGAAAAACAAATGTTTGACACAACTTATTGTTAAAAGAGCATAATCTCCCCTTTGGTTATTTTTTTGAACATTTAATTGCCTATTATGATGGATTAATGCCTACAGCTTGTTTTTGTTTGAATCTTCATGTTCTTGCAATGCAGTGCCATCGCTATTCTAAAGATCTTTTTCTTAAAAAATATCAAACATGTGTGGGCAGTTGTATTGAAACTATTATCTAATCTCTCATGATTATCATTTACTCTTTCATTGTTATTAAGATTATTATGTACTCGTTCATTATTCATTCTTTTCTAAACATATCTGACAAGTAAGGATAAAATTAAAAGATGATGAATTGTATATAATATGAAGGAAGGTGTTCTTCTGAAGAACTTTTCTCAACGAAAAGAAACAAGTTTCATTCATTTTTTTATACACTCAAGAGCCAAAACATTATGACCACCTGTCAATAACGAGTTGGCCCATCTTTGGCGCGCAACACAGCTTCAACCCGCCTTGGCATGGATGAATACCACAACTTAATACCAGTTAAATACCACTTCCATCTGATCACGTGCCTTCCACATCATCCAGGCGAGTTCATTACAAAATGTAGGGGAGGTCATAATGTTTTGGCTCTTGAGTGTATATGTAAGTATAAAAAAAGTAATGAAAACAAGGTTAGCCAACTAAATCTACACATGTTGTTTTAAGCAAAACTGTTTAACTTTCGATCAAACGCAAACAGCCCGACTCATGGTCCAGTGGCAATATGCACCGCTACCCTGCAGGAGAGCTGTGATTTGAATCCGATGGTTTCATCACAGTAGTCACTGGTGATTATAATTATAATGGCGATTGTGACAATGTGTTTAAAGCATCTCACATCTATATTCAAGCTGCCAATTGGGAATTTTTCAGATTTTCTTCCACGCAAATGGTGGGTCGTTATCCCCAAAAGTCTTCACAGGGAGGCACTGTCCTCCCTTCCTTAACCGTCCGTCGGTGGTTTGTTCGTTGTAAATGAAACATGAGACCCACCGATGCTCTCTCCTCTCAATCATGAAAAACATAATATGTAGTCTTGATATGAGAAAGAAAGTCAACGTCTTAAAATAAAACTAAACTTCATAAAAACGTGAGCACATTTCCTTAGTTTAGAACTTAAAATGAAGAAAAACTGCAAGAATCTTTCCAAAAATACGGAATTCACACATCTTGAATCTAAAGAATAAACATTAAAGAAACCTATAAATGTGATGTCGATAGTAAAGCAGGAGAACAAAATACAGTTACTCAAGTGAACCTAAATTGGTGGTGGTAAGAATCCGCCATGAATTCTCACGAGAACTATAAAACTTACCGCAAGTGGAGAGAAAAAAGAAGTGCTTAAATAAACTGGATCTACCATGAAGTCGCACAAGAGCTCTATATTGGACAGCGTACGGAGAGAAAAAAAAATGTTTAAATAAATTGTACTCGAGATGTGTGGTAACCGTAGAATGTTCCATCGTTTTAAAAAAGTATAAGTTAGTTAGTCATGGCTTTGTTAGTTGTATTTTATGCTTCGTGTTGTAGTGATTGCTTTATTAGTTAGTAGTCTGCTTTTTGCATTGTAGAAAATAAATGAGTATCCTTAATCAATGTCTCCTCTCAATTTTAACTTTCAGTAATCCTATTCACCTTACGTACACGATTTTTCAAAAACCAAAACTTCTACTCTCGGGAAAGTTTCAAAAATGCAGATTACGCAGAATTTAACTAATGGCGTTACATTTTCAAAGGCGAATATACCCATATCAAGCCATAATCTCCATTGTAAATAAATATAAAACTGTGCTATCATGTACACATGCTCCAGGTGGTTATTGAATCCATTTCATATTCTTTATAATATGTTAGGTATTAAACCTAATTTGTGCAAATTATTTCTACAAAAAAATACTTTATTTTATTAAAATAATATCTATATATAAATCTGTTAAATACTGTTCATTTCTAGAGACTACTTTTTCTTATGTTTTTATATAAGGCGAATTCCTCATCTAAAGAACTACTCATCTTTTGAACCAAATCAAGAATCAAGCCAGCTTTTGACTTCAGCAAAAGAATGATTTCCCATACAGACCATGTGTTATCAATCGAAACAGTTAATAATCACGGAAAAATGCCTGGTGATTATGGAGGATGGGGTAAAACTTTCAATGGAAGTACTTCCAAATAGTTTTTTAATTGTTTTGTAACATGTGGCCGAGCATTGTCGTATTGAAAAATAGTTTTGTCGTGTCTTTCCTCTTATTCTGTCATTTATTTCAATGCCTGGCTAAAGAGCAATTGATAGCGTACACCTGTACCAGGGTTTCAGCAGCTTTAACTTAATCTTTCATATCAATCACAATTATCGTCTTTAGATCAATTAAACTATTTAAATTTTTTTTTCAGTGGATGCTTGTTCTCCATTCCACTATAATTCAAAGCGCTTCAGATGGATTTTTCTACAAATTAATGCAGAAAAGTAAAACTTCTCGCAAATGTTCTTTTCTATTACAACATTCGACATTATCAAAGCTTAAAAAAATGCACTTTTCAAGCATCAACCAAATGACCCATAAAAGTTTATGTTTAACATAAAGTTGTTCAGAGTTGGATTCATCTGGTAATAAATACTAATTACGCCATCTGTTAAAAAAAGCTTTTTGATGATTTTAATAGCAAAAAAAAATTTAATTACAAAAACTAATCAAGATTTTACAAAAAAAATTGTTGCTTAGTTTTAAAAATAAGGAAAAAACATTTATTCTGTATTTACGAACTATTTACTTTTAAAATACATAAGAATTAGAGTACACATTTGACATTTCGGAAAGCAGCTAATATATTTATTGGAATGTAAATCAATGAGTTAACACCTGTATTTCCGTAAATAAAGTTTCACCGTTTACTGATAGCATTTTCAAAACACAAACTAAATTTCTCAAGACTCAGCCATACAATTAGTATGAAGTCACGAAATATCACAGCTACAGTAATCATTATAGTCATGGAATTATAGTTGGAGGTTTCAGATGAATTCTAATTATAAAATATTCGCAACAAAACACACAATAGAAAATTACAATTCAAAATTCAGTAATTAACATAATTTGCACTGCATTATTTATTACAGTTGTTGAGCAGAATAAGGAAGACATTGAGATCTTCTGTATCACCAGTTTAAATATTTATTCTACTTATTTACTCCAACCAATGTTAATTTTTGTCATCAAAGAAATCAGGAACTTCTAAAAAAGACGAACTACAAAAAACTAGGCTTCTTAAAATAATGTCAGTTAATAGTATTTTTAACATTCAACATTGGAATGGAATAAAGATGCCTTATAGCTCTAGAAGGTTTGGTTTGGTTTAGTTTGTTGCTCTACGGTCATCTTGTGCAAACTTTGGGCTAAACAGACCGGGACCTACAGTTTAAAGTGGATTCCGAACCACTACAAACATCCGTGGCACCGCCGGGACTCGAGCCCGAAACCTGTGGTACCGAGCGCAGGAGAACTCAAGAAGGAGAATATCCTCCATAAAAAATCTGCCCAAGTTCAAAACTATTTCAGCTTTTCCTGTTAATAGCGGGTAAGAATCAAATCAATAACTTTCTTTGAAAGTAGGGCTTCTAATCTCTTGCAGTCACCGTAACCATGCTAGTCACTGTGGAGTTGAATAGAAAAAAATAATTTCATATAAGAAGATGCCGATATAAAAAATGTTTAATTTCAGCTTTACAATGAAGAAATATAATGAAAATAATGTAATATATTTTTTTAAAGTTTTTTGTATAATCCAATATTAATGATCATACAAGATTTTAAAACTTTTTTATGCTGCAGATTTGACAGAAAACCATATTATCTCTTGGGATTGAATGAACAACAAAAGTATAATTGAAATATATATTTATGCCTTAAGTTATTACGTAATCATTAAAAAAGAGTAATATTAAAAAAAAGTTTTTTGTATAATCTAATATTAATGATCATACAGGATTTTAAAACTTTTTTATGCTGCTTATTTGACAGAAACCCATATTATCCCTTGGGATTGATCGAATAATCAAAGTATAATTGAAATATATATTTATGTCTTAAGTTTAATTTAACATTGCAAAAACAAATCACCTCATAAAAAAATTTTAACTTCTAAATGAAAATAATTTATCATGCTTCTATTAAAATCTTCTTACCAAATCAAATTGGATTTGGATATCAAACTCTCTCGTATTTTTAAATGCCACTGGGGAAACGATGGAAAAAGACAAATTTCTTTTTGTGATCTAAGTATTGGTAAGAAAAAAAATAATGACTTTTTTAAGTGGAAACTTTCTCTAACTATGCTCACTTCAAATAAGAAGCGACAGGGAAATAAATGTGAGTTTTATTTAACACAAGAATTTGGATTTGAGATTTATTTTATGATATAAACATGTAATCACTGGAGATTCAGAAATTTATTATTTCTTATTAAGCGCGCTTATTATCGCGAGCTTCAATAACTGCTCATCTTGCGTGATCAATTATAATATCTTGATTCCGAATTCTTGAATATTCTTGATTTTATGCCAACGGCCGTACCATGCTGAATATACCGGTTCTCGTTAGATCACCGAAGTCAAGCATCATTGGGCGCGGTCAGTGCTTGGGTGGCCGAGTGTCTAGCGCTCTGGCGCTCGGTGCCCCACAGGTTTCGGTTTCGAATCCCGGCGGTGCCATGGATGTTTGTAGTGGTTCGGAATCCACTTTAAGCCGTAGGTCCCGGTCTCCTATGACTGTAAGAGCGTCACGGAGCCAAAGTCAGGCTTCTACCTACGGGTGCTCCATCACAACAGAAGCTGCTTCCTTCCCCTTCAATCATGAGTACGTATGGGCTCGTGGGCTTGGCCAGCCAAGTGGGATAAGAAACAACACCATAGATTTTATTACATTTATAATCAATGACCTCTTTTTGATTTAATCAATAACTCGGCTTATTGCCTCAATTTAAGCGTACATCATTTTTAATGCATTACACTTTTTACATCAATCAGAAGGGAATTTTTATATCAGAAATTGATTTGAAAATATGAAAATATCCTCAATAATTAATCCTCTTCTTAAAATATGGGAGGAAAACTTTTCAGTAGCAACGCATTTGTTTGCTAGTGATGAAATTTAACGTATGCGTGTGTATATAGAGTAGGAAAGTTAGCGTATTTAGAATATACACTAAATTTCAGACCTTAACGTTATTTAAATTTCACTGGTTTTCAAACATATTTGAATTATTTTAGTATATTTATATTAGGGGCCTGATGGCCGAGTGGCTAGTGATGTGGTACTCGGTACCACAGGTATCGGATTCGAATTCCAGCTGTGCCATGGATGTTTGTAGTGGTTCGAAATCCATTTTAAACAGTAGGTCCCGGCCCTAATAGGATCGTAGAGCGTTGTAGAGGTAGTGTTACTCGAGTTCGTAGCATATCTTGATACTACACGTGCCCCCTGGGTAGTGCTAAATGAGCTTGCTTATGGCATAAGGATTAACTCTCTGTATTGTCAGCTGCATTAGAACAATAGTTGATATTTTTATCGCTAGCTTTTGAATAAAATTTTTCTCTTTTTTCTTATTAAGCTATAATGAATTAGTTATTATTGTGCATGGCAGGCAATAAATCAAAATATTAAACCAATACGTGTATAAAAAAATTGCTTAAAATCTTTTAAGTAAAGAACAATTATGTTGTTTAGAATTTATGAATTTAATTATTATTATTATTAGTTTCAAACATCATAAAAAAGGAAAGCACATTTAATGTATTTTTTTTAACAAAATGTATACGACTTATAGAATTAACAAGAACATTTAAAATAAGCTACTTACTTTACTTCTTCACATAAAGAAAATCAATTAAAAATACGTTAGTTAAATCACGTTAGTTAAATTTAACGTTTGTTAAATCTGAAATTTTCCATGCTTTAGAAAGGTTGAAATGAAACATTGTTTAAAATAATGTTATCCAATTAATAATTAAAAAGACTCTTATTGTTACTGAATGAGCAAGTGTTTGATGTTTTACAACAATAACCCAATTGATCTTTTTTAAAACATTTTGCTTTTTTTCTATTAATAAACCTTTCAGCACAACTTTAATTAATTTTTTTTTAATATAAATCTTTACAAACAGTGCTAATTAGTTTTTATGGGTTTCGAAATTTACTCACTACAGTAATGTTTCCCAAAAAAAAAATTAAATGTTGCACTTACTTATTTCCAGGTAATCAATGATTTCAAAATCTCAAGTAATTTGAAATTGAATGTTAAAATATATAAAATTTGGGAAAAGGGTATCAAACTATTTTCTAAGGGTAGTAAAAAGGGTATCAAACTATATGCCTATTTTCTTACTATTCATATTTAATTTTATTAATATTTCTTCAAATTTATCTTAATTAATATTTAAATATAGATAAAATAAATGCTGTGAAATGCTGGGGGTGTTTTTCAGCAAGATGCGGAACAAAACAATAAAAATAAATGAAAATATTCTAAATAAGCAAGAAATATTAGTGAGATTTACAAAGAATATAGTGTTACAAATAATTAAGAAAAATGTTACTTAATAATCCATATGTTTTTGTATTAGAGTGCTATATAGTAGATCCTTAATAAGCAATATGCTACAGGAATTCATCAAAAATTATGTACCATTCATGTATCTATTGTTTTATCAATCTTTTTGCAGCCCTGACCATATACAGAGTGACTTACCCATTTCCATTTACAAAATATATAGTGTTACAAATAAAATTTTTACTAAATAATCCTTTTGTTTTTATATTAGAGTGATCTGTAGTAGATCCCTAATGATCAAAATGCTACAGCAATTCATCAGAAATTATGTTCCATTCGTGTATCTATGGTTTTATCAACCGTCCTACAGCCCCAACCTCATAATTAGTGACATTCCCATTTCTCTTCGCAGTTGCTTTCCTATGTTTTGAGTACAATGAAATATTAAATTCATCAACGTTAAAAAAATTAGTGGAAAAGTACGTAATGTTGCAGCTGGAAGAATGATTCGGAATTTTCTAATGCTGTCTTATCAGCCCTTTGCAGTCCTAACTTTACACCTTGAACAGTCCCCATTTTCTTTCATCCGAACTAGTGGCTTGCTTCCCAACGTTTTGCGATAGAAAAATGTTAACATCGTCAATGTTGTGTTGGCTGAAATTCCACGCACAAAAAATTATATTTGTGTGTTTGTCCCATTGTCCATAATGAATGATGACTAATTAGTGTTTTATGGCACAAGGATAAGATTTATAATACATAGAAGAAACAAAATCGTATTCTTAAAAAGCGCAATTAGTAGAAAACGAAATAGTACATAAAATATTGAAAGACTATTAGATACTTTATAGATCAGATAAAATTTTTCTAGAAATTTAATTGGAAAGCTTAATTGAAGCAAATTTAAAACTGAATCATATAATTCCTTTTTCATCGTATTCCAGCAATAACTCAATAAATATAACTTTTCGTAAAATAAATATAAAGTTATATAAGAAATATAATACTTTAAGTATTTAAGTATAAAAATAAATACACTTATACTCAATAAATATAACTCAATATAACTTTTAGTAACAAGAAATTAATTATTTAAAACTGTAAAACAGTTGTACGCTTAAAAATGGTTTTTTTTATTGTAATCAACCCCATTTACATCACTGGAAGAACATGCTTTTTTATCTCCTATTTGTCTTCATCTAAAATTGAAGGCTGCAGTAGCTATTTGTATTAAGTCCCGATTTAGATTTTATGACTGATTGTAATTTATTGCCATTGAGTCACTAGTAATCTTCAGATGTTAAACATAGATGCATCTTATATATGCGGGGAAATGATCAATTTATGCTGTCATTAATGAAATTTTGTTTTCATTCTTTTGTTCATTTTTATTACCTACCATTCTTACTGTTTGAAAAGCGCCTCGTATATTAGAATGAGATTAAATGATTTGATGAATGTCCCTCGACGCTTTGATTTAATACCTAGAAAAAAATATGAAACTCTTGATATTCTACGATAAATCCATTCAATCGTTTACAGTAAAATAATAGCGCATTTCACCGTAATATCATGATCTGTCCTTCAATTTGATTTTTTTCTCTCTCTAAAATGAAAGATTTAATTTAATTCTGCAAAAGAATAAAGCACCATGCACTTCAAAAAGATTTTTAAAATTGAATCAAAAGAATAATTATCCGTCTAGATTTCTAAATGACTCAAAAATTCTATGCGTCAATTGCTTTGGGATTTAATTAAGAAAGTGTAAGTGAAAGAAAATGGGAATGTAAGGGGTAAACAACTTGAATTAAGCGACAGACGGAGTCAATTAATAGTTTCTTAATTTATGATATTAAGTCTGCGATTCGAAACATAAGCCTTTTTTTTTCAGTGTAATTAATCTCACATCATCAAATGGCTTATTCAAAATCTGAGATTGACTATTTTAAAAGAGTACTTCAGAATTTTTTTTATTCTAAATTGGTTGTTAACAGAGATTCTAAAGCAAGAAGAATTCTTTCAAATTTAAATTTCATCAATAACTTAATAATTTTTTGTATTTTGTTTACATTTGGAAAACTTTTTCATTCAATTCATCACTTTTCGAGCTAAAAATTAATAAATATCACTTAAAATGGATGTATAGAAAATAAAATTTTCTCTTAAATTTTGTTCAATAGGTATTTTTAAAAATTTTCTGGGTACTTACGTATTAACGCCACCGCAGCTACAGATTTGGCGGTTTTTAAGTGGCGCCAATCTACACTTAAAATTTTTGTGACATCATAAAATATATAAAACACTTTATTTAAAATGAAAACACTTTCAAAATTCAAAACACTTTATTTAAAAACATAGTAGTCAATCGGATTTCGGTGGAAAATGAGCCGATATAGAGTTTAACATAGATTCAAAACAGTCTCTATTTTGGCGCATTGGCAGCTCTTTATTGGCGCATTAGCGCAACTTCTGCTGCGGTGGCGTTAATACGCAAGTACCTTTTTCTGACATTAAATTTACTTTTTAGATGCATTTTATCATTAACGAAAAAAATTTTTACAGTAGTAAAAGCAATATTTATATTTGAAGATATGTTTTATATCTGAAATACATCTTATAATTATTTTTAAAAATTTAATTATATATTATTATCTCTTATTCTTATTTTTGTACATTATTTGTATACTTAAAATTAACTTATTAATTGTGTGATATTTTATGTAATAGCATTTTAAATGTTACAGCCATACACATAAAAATATTTTGCAAAATAGAAGAAATTAGAATATTTGAAAATATTTCTTTTTAAAAAGTTATCCCTTCAATAACATCCTCCTTGTTTAACCATACTAAAAATTAAGTAATAAAACTAATTAATTTTTAGTTATATAAAAATGAATAATACTATTTCAAATGTTATAGCAATGCATACAGAAAAAATGCTTTGGTAATTTTATCAAATAGAATAAGTATAATATTTAAAAAAATATTTAATTTTTAAGCATTATTTCTTCGAAGCATTATTAAAATATTCAAATCTCTTTATGCATGCAATTTATAATTAAATAATTTTATTTATGTCTTGAGATTTTTTTTATTCA